AAAACAGTCAAAGAATTGAAACCAAGCAAAACCTGGGCCAAATGGAGATGTCCAAATAGCCTGTCTTATTGCAGCATCTCACAAACTAAAAGAGTAAATTATATTCCACCCAGGGACTCCACCAATGCTTTCATCAAGCTTCTGCTGTGAAGCAGTTATTACTTGTATTGAGAATTCTAAAAATGACCTTTCCAAATTTCCCACCCTCGTATCTGGAATTGTGGATGTACCATGACCATGCCAAAAAAAAAAAAAAAAAGGAAACTAGCTGCAACTGTAATTATTAATCAGCTGACCCCTAAATAGGGAGACTGTCCCAGATATTTACATTGCCTCTAATGCATTAACCCTTTAAAAGCAAATCATCCCTGTCCCTACTCCAAACTGGCCACAGTAGGTGAGCCACAAGCCAAAGCACTAAGGACAAGCCACTGTTAAGTCTAGATAGAGGGCCAGACACAAAGCAAGAAAGGGGACACAACAAAAATCTGCTCTGCAACTCCCAGCAAACATGGGACATGGGCGCTGCGCTGGGCTGACAACTGGTGGGCAACTTTTAATTCCCAACTGACCTGAAACAGTGTGGCCTAGATGTGAGAGGCCCATCGGAGGATTGCTTCAATAAAATAAAAAGAACTGGAGAAGGAGCTATTAGGAGGCTGCTGGTTCTCCTGGAGGAGCTCGTCATGCTGGTTTTTCCGATATGAACTTGGTTGTTCTCATTGTCAGAAGAACTTGGGAACTCACTATTGCTGAGGATGGCTGTGGTACTTTTTGGAGGAGCTCTGGTTCTTACTGTGAGCATCACCTCCTTGCTCCCAGGCCAATCCCTCAGCCTACTGGCACAAATCCTTCATCCCCTGGCACAGACCTTCTAGCTTCCACCACTGACCTGCACGCCTTCTTAGCACAGACCCTTGAAAAAGGCCTGCATGAGACATTGTCATAGGTTCTAGGCCTGCAGTTAAGACTCGTGGGGGGCATTGCCATTGGCTCTTATCTTAGGTCTTCAGCTGGACTCATACAGGACATTATCATGGGGTCCAGGCCCTCAGCTAGAATCTTGGGTGTGCAGTATGTGGAGAGATTTCTTGCACTCTTTATTATGAAATAATTCTATAAACTATGCGTCCTGTATTAAATGGATTCTCTTGCAAATCCTGACTACAACAGGCACCTTAGTCACGTTAAGTATGGGGAACTGAATTCTGCCCACTAACAGGAATGAGCTTAGCTGAGGCCCCTGAGCTCTAGCTGAGAATGCAGCCAACCAACTCCTGTACCTCAGCTTCTGAGAACCAACAGAGAACTAATCATACCATGGACGTCTAACTGCCAGAGCACAGGTAATAAAGGCATTTCTTTAAACCACTATGTGTAGTAAACTGCTATACAGTACATCAACATTCTCCATATGCTGCTTATCAGCCAAAAAGCCCTGCCCACACTCCCATATCCAGTCACAAAGAACTAGCAAACATACTGCCCTGCCAGGCAGGGTGGCTCATGCCTGTAATTCTAGCATTTAGGAGGCTGAGGTGGAGAATCAAGAAGAGGGCCAGTGGACTACGTAAGTGAGTTCAAGGCCAGCCTAGACTACACAGTGAGATTCTGATTTAAAAAAAAAAAAGATCTACTGGAGTCTGCTCCATCACTTATTAGTGAGGCCCTGGACAAGCCCCTTCCTCTAAGATCAGTCTTTTCTTCTGTTACATGAAGACAGTGATTACATTTGCCTCAATGAACCCACAGGCTTGTCTGAAACATCGAATAACATCTGTAAGATCTTTGCAAACTATGCAATGTTATAGAAATGTCAGAATCACAAAATAAAAAAAATAAAAAAAAAATCAAAATTGCTTGTCTTCAAAGCCCAGTCACAGTCGGCCTAACCAATGTTCCTTACAACTGCAGTCATAATTCAATGGTTAATGTTAATCCTCCATACTCTTGCATTAAGGTTTAGCTTAATATTAGTTAGGTTGTATTGAGAACAAGCAGAATCACTCTCATGAAATTAGAGCTTTTCTAATGAACAGATGCCCTACATCTACATATAAAGGACAATCTTTTAGCCTCCAAAGATTGTTAGAGGGTAATGTATGGCCTGCAGATAGCTGTCATGTAAGAAGGCACTTCAGAGTGTCCTAGGTACAACTACAGATCTGCATTTTTAGGTAAAAGTAACAACTTACAAATTCATGCAACTGGGGCTGGTGAGATGGCTCAGTGGTCTAAAGCACCTACTTAGAACAAGCTTGGCTAAAGCACAGGGACCGCGGTTCAATCCCCCAGCACCACATGCC